CTATTTATTAGAACATTTTTATTTCTATATATTTAATTTTAATATATAGTTAAGTGGCAGGGATGTTTAAAAAAAAATCAAAAATTTTCTATACATTTGTTGCAATTAATCGACTTACCTATTTTTCTTAGTTTCTACAAATCAGTTAAGAAAACTTTATATTTAGGAAAGCGCCTGATGGAGTATATGATAAAGGGATAATTACATACAAGTCTTATTCAACACAATTATGTATTGTTATTATTCTCCTAAATTCAGTTGTTAATAGACTTGAGAGTAATTAATTATATTGAGTAGAATCTTAGGGTAATTCTTTCTATGATGAGTACTCATAACAGTATTTTCTCCGCTAAATCTCAATTCAATTCACCATCTCACAAATAAAGTAAATATTATTTAACAAAATATTGATTTGTTTTATTTATTTTATTAGCCAAATATAATTTATTTGAATTCTTATAAGAAAATACACGTGAGTAATAAAAAAAACCAGTAATCATAGTCAATTTTTTTTAATCAAATTAGTACAAAGTCCTGCATAAGTATTCTAATTAATTACTCAATAGTCCCATCGTTTATGAGCAAATGGTTGTGAGATCCCTAGAGACTTAGCTGAGAGAGCCTGAGAATAAGATTGGACACACAATGACCAATTTACCCTAATTGAGTTAAAGGAAAGGGGAACGCCGTTATCAAATCATGGGCGTTTTGGATAAGTCGAAGACAGCTTATTTACAGCTAGGACCTTGAGAATTTCACAGCCATTTATTTATGCAGTGGGACTTTTATAATTACAATGTTTGCAAGGAACTTTATAATTATTTTTTTAAATTTGACCATAATCACAGTTGAAATTCATTCCTTGAATTAAGCGGAAAAAACTACGTAAAAAAAAAAGGGAGAATAACATTAAAAATTTCCAAAGGAATTTAATAACTTATAATGATATTAAATATATTGAATATTTATTAAAACAATAACTTTATTTATTAATTTGTTAATATTTACTTATTAACTTGTTTAACAAAATTAAATCCCTTCCGGAATACTTTATTAATAATCGTGTCCAAGTGAAGCTATGCTTTTCAGGCACAAAATCAATAATGGCACGCATCGTACCAGTCATCCAGTCAGGTTCTGCCTTTTTCAAATGAATAGTCTATGTTTTGATTGCTTTCTGTGTATTGAATGACTGTGACACATGACAATAAAGTGACTAATTATATATTTTATTTTATATAACATGATTAATCCTCTGTGAAGAGAACATATGTAAAAAAAAAAAAAAGTGTATCAATGAATCAATGAATTTCATTGATGTGTCTCACTATTTTTATTTTATTTTTTGTCCTGCTAGATCTTTCTCTTACAGTCTTTAGGTGTCGGCAGAGAAGAGCCAAATTCTGATAATGTTTATACATGCATGATTTTATTTCTTTTTTAGTGACAAATTATTCCTTGTCTGGTATTAGTGATCGAAATTTGAGTTGCATTGAGCCCAATTATTGGAAAAATCTTTGAACATGATTTTCTCTATTCATATTCCAACACTCACCCCAACCAATGTTAAAAAATATTTAATTTCTTTCACTCCTTTTGATTACATTATTTTCCAAAGTGAGATTACATAAGTGAGGTTAGTTAGCGGTAAAGTCTAGATCTTCTTTTGATCTTTTCTTTCTCATTGTCTGCAAGCACTTATATATTCTAAAGTATAATATTCTAAAGATGTCTGATGCTAAAAACAGCTGTTCCCAGAATATCATGAAGTTAATTACAATGTTGTGATAAAACCTAAAGAAACATCATTTTAATTAGGGGGAGCGATGAAACTCTTGTTCTCTTATAGCTTATATGGTCCCTTTTTTTTTTTGTCTGTTTAAAGCAATCTAATTTGGACGATGAAGATCTAAATGTCTAAAGGATGAAGAAACAACTTTGAAGCACATATTATCCCACCTTAATTATCTCAAAACTAAATAAGGAAGGAAAGAAGAAGCAGCTAGTAGGGGTGTTCAACTTATACCCATCCCAATTGACTTGATATCACCCCGATCATATTGAGATAGGTTTCATCTTGACCTAAAAATAATTAGGACAGAACTTTGCTTGATGAAATAGAAAGAGGGTTCGGGATAGGATAAAACACAAGATTATTATCAGGACCTCCCGCCCCATCCTGAATATTAAACACACACACATATATATTATTTTTTTTATTTTAAAAATATATATTAAATATATTAATTATATTAATATAATTTATATTTATATTAATTATATCAATTATTATTTCAATACGTGCAATTCTGATCTAAAACTAAAGTTTTTTATATCAATAATTTTAATAACATAGAGTAAACAGGATGATATCTTTCTTTATAATATATTAATTATATTAATACAATTTATTTTTATATATATCTATTTGATAGAAGAATAATGATTTGGTGTTGTGCTTACCTTGCCTGTTATTGCTATTCTTATAGTCTAGAGATTACTTGTAATCGTTATCATAATATGTAATTGTGATTAATATAATTCAATAATTGACTTTAAATTATTGTGATTTATGTACTTGTGTTGTTTTTATTTTAAACATAATAAATTATATGATTTATGTTTTAATAAATATTATTATTTAAATATTTTTTTTAATATTATCTGATTTATCAAAATAACAAGATGTCCCAATCATCTTGATCTCATCCCATTTTCTAACAAAATGGAATGAAAGGCGAGATAAAAAATTAATTTCAATTTTTTTTCTTTTAGAACATGACACATCCTGCCCTGTTCTATGAATACCCTGCTGGTCATGATTTTTTTCTTGACAATTAAAGCATGTGTAGTTATATTCATCTCACTTTATTTAAAGAGAAGAAAGTGTCCGATCAATCAATTGATCTGACCTTATCTGCCTTGGCTATATATAGTTAAAAATGGAGAATAGTATAAGAGCAGGTAGTGTAAATTAAAGGTGACAAGAATATATATGTATATATGTATGTGTGTGTATCGTGATAAACATAAAAATATATAACAGAGACTACATGCATTGATCGTCCTTAAATTAAGATGTCAGCGCATTCACTCGTGGAAAGTTTTCCTTTTTCTTTTTTTGTCTTATGTACTAATTCACTATACCAACCAAATGGAGGACCAAAAAAAAAAAAAAAGATGTTTTATAGTTTGTGTGGGTAAATGGGGCTCGTGACAATGCGTTTTGTTGGTCAATCTAATTTTTTTTCCCCTGTTATCTCAAAGTAAATATATGCAAAGCCTAAAAGCTAGGACACGTGGTGTATATATTTATAAATAGTAGGACTTTTTTTTTGTAGGTTTTATATTGATTTCGTTAATTTTACTTTCATTGTTTGTGTTTTTATTTTATATTTAACTTTCTCAGTGTACTGATTATTTTCTCCTTCTGAAATTATTTTCTTTTCAAAAGAATATGTTCAACTTTAAAACTTCGAATCTTTTGGAAAAGCAATATATCACTTGATGAAAACAAAGTAAGGGATTTTGAGTCCCTCAATCATGTTAAGCACCCAATAAAGCTATTTTAAAACAAAAAGGAAAAAGAAGAAAATCATCATGCAAAGATCTTCTAATTTTTAAGACTATTAATGACCAAGTTAATTAATTGGCATCTCACTAGAAAAATGGAATCCATATGCAAAGAATTAGTGCCTTTTGCAAGTATGGGGTGTGAGAGAAATTCTTAAGTAGACCATGTGCTCTACGTCATTTGTAGTCTATTTAATTAAAATGCTTCAATTCATCTAAATAAAATTTTATATGACATTATTTTAATTGATTTTACTTTTATAATAGAATGCATATCTCATTTCTTGTATTTTATCTCTTTAGCTACTATCATTAATAATGTAATTAATTTATATTTAATGTAATATAAATGTCATATTTTTTTTGGACAAATTACAAATAACGTGGCACACCCACTATGCCTAAAAATTTCTCATGGGTATGGATCATGTGCATTCCTTCATGATTTTGTGTCATTAATAGTTGTAATAGGAATAATTATATGATGCTTTATTTCTTTTATTAAGAGAGGTATTTTGCTCTTTTAATTTTGGTCTTTCATTACTTTATAATTTCGCCATACCAAATAAATGAATGGAAACATATAATTCCTTTGTTTAAAAATATAAGATATATTTTTTAAGGTGACGTGTTCAATAATATAGGGTATTTGGATTTTTTAATGTATAATTAATGAGATTTTTTTTTCAAAAATACCCTAATAGGTTTAATTAATAATTTTTTTAATTGAACACCCTATTAAATAAAGATAATTGTAAAAAGAATGTGTAATTTTAAAGACAATTAACTAACTCATTAAAAGTGTAATTTAATTAAAAATACCTTTATAATATTTCAATGGAGGGAGTATGTGTATTTCTTTTCATTACATACAAAATATAATTAATTTCTAACCATCCTTTTCATTGTTTCAATTAAAAATACTCTGTCATGCATTGTACTTTGAACAATAAAACTCTTTTTAAAGATAACTTTTATAAAAAAGCAGATGGAGCATATGGATAACCAATTTTTAGATTATCATCAATAAATTAATACATATGATAAAATCATGGGAATTAACTGTACAAATAATGAATAGCGTCTCATTCCTTGCATGCATGTCCATATATATAATATAATGCACAGAAAAAGATGTCTAGTTAATTTGAACAATTTTGTTTCTCACTTAAAATGCAGTCTTGTTCATTTGCAACTCAAATTTCTCTCCAAGGTCTCAACTTTTGCAACTTAAAAGTTCTTATAATTATCCACTTCTAATTTTATTACGGAAAAAAAATGTTGAATGAAGTGTGATATCTAAAGTTTGGTAATATTTTTTGCTGAAATCCTGGTGCGTGCATCCAGTCTCTACAAAGCAACAAAATTTTCCAGACTCTCAAGGAGCAAGCTGGCAAAAATATAATATAAAATAAAATAAATCAGAATTTGAAGCTGAGAAAGTTGTGAGAGGACCTACTGAGTAGACCCATAGCTTTATTATGATAAATGACGAAAGATCATTACTAAACCCACACATCTGAGCACACACCAATAGCTAATAACACTGCCTCACACTACTCTTTTCAAAACACTGGATTAGCACAACATTGAAATTAATCTACATAGCCATTTTCTCGTATTGCGGGATTACTATAGGACTTCTCACTTTGTGCTTGCCATCTGTCCACGTCAGCTCCCCAAATGAAGGCTGATCTGAAGTTTTGGCTGAACTTGTTGCCTGCAAAATCACCAGATAGCTCTTCTTCTGGTTTGTTCTCTGAAACTTTAAAGTTTTCGGAAGAACAACCACCTTAACTCCTGGCGGGGCTTTGACATTTACAGTATACGTGCTTGGAGGTCCAACATTTGTTACAGTACGAGTAACATTTACAGGTTTCACACCCATAAAAGGCAATGTGATAGAAGGGTAGTTGAAATCTTCCAGTCTGTAAGATCTCGGACATTTGTATGGCCTGTTATAGTTAATGGCTTCCACTAGTCTTTCCTCATAAGCAGAGGCACATAACAAGTTGAGATAATCAGAAACCTTGAGATCATAAACAAGTCCAGGGTCTATTGCCTGGTTGGGTTTGACGAATCCTGTACCATAATGGAATGGAGTTGCTACTTTATCATCTTGCTCGTCCCGAATCTGTGCATTGGTGTTATCCAGTATGCTTGCTAAAACGACATAGTTTTGAAAACTTGTTAGAAATGCTCCTAGTTAGAGAGAGAAAGAGAGAGAGAGCGCAAACTGTAAACATGATAGCAGACTAATAATGAATATCGTCATACCTGTGGTCATGATTGCTGACTTGATCATTGCGGGACTCCAACTAGGGTGACGAGTTTTAAGAAGACCAACAATGCCAGTAACATGAGGGCATGCCATGGAAGTTCCGGACAGAACGTTATAGTCAAAGTGACGTCCTACATCTGAATCCAGGTTGGTGGGGCTCGCAGCAGATGAATAAGCAGCAATTATATCCTGACCCGGTGCAGTTACATCCGGCTGAAAAACAAAAAAAAAAAAAAAACAAAAACAAAATGCTCAAGAACCATGTAGTTGACTGAGGGAGTTATGCTAGGATGGTTCGTATATGATAACCTTGAGGATTGATGGGAGAACCAAGTTGGGTCCCCTGGATGAGAATGCAGAAACTTTTGGAGCTGGCCTTTTTGGTATAATTGTTTTTGCGTTGTCCAAGAATGCAAGTGGGTTCCTGCAGCAATATATGCATAAATGGAGCTCCGGTCGTTGCAAATATTTTCCGAGCAACTTCAAATGAGAAAGAGTATCATTATTATAATTTACTTGTTTTTGCTGAAATAGTCCCAGGAAGTATTATTGCTGGTTTTCTTAGGAGCAATATTGGAAGTATCCAAAACTTGAGCATCAGCTGTAGCTGTATTTAATTCATTATCATTTTGCAGAATCATTTTCAATGCGCCTGCACGCTTTGCTTCCGCGCCCTTGTCCACAGGCCTTAGAGTTCTTCCTCTTTGGCATATCAATATGCGGCCTCTTACTTTTGTAGGATCGAGTGTTCCTGGTCTACAAAGCTGGCTGCAACAGCAGCAGCCAAACATTATTAGATAGTTTAACACTGAAAAGGAAAATTAAGACATAATTTGGAGGAATTTTATTCATTCTTACGCGTCTTCAAATGTCGCACTACGAAGCCTGACATTGCCGGCAATGACAACAGGAATTAACCTCTGAGATGTCGAGTTTGAGGCCAGACTTGTTCCCTGATCAGATCCTCCATGTTATAAGTTATTATAAAATATCAATCATAAACACAATCACGACCTAAGTAAGAACAAAACGTGTAGTTGATTGCCACAATTTTCAAAATTCTAATAAATGAGTTTGGGATACAGAAACACACACCCCATATATTTCAATATTTTCGGGATACAAGGATCTAGATTGAACTGAAAATATTTGAATCTATAAAATCTTCATATAGTCAAGCCCGGTATTAACATCTTAGGCTTTTGAGTTGGTTTGAATACCTGAATGGTTAAATATTATTTTTTATTTTTTTAGTTAATTTCAATTTTATATTAAAAATTAAGATTTTCAATTTTTATGTCATTTTAATTTTATTTTATTAATAATAAAAAAGAATTCAAGTATTCTAACTAAACCCATTTAGAAAGAAATTTTTTTTAAACTTTCAAGCTTGATTGTAAGATTTTTAAATTTATTTAAACTGGTTTGTTGGGCTTAATCCGGATTACTAGCTTTAGTTTTAAACAGATAATAAAATGATTAACATTAATTTTTTTTAAGCTTTTAAGTTATGAAAACATTTTGACAAAGAAAATAGTGATACGAATGATAAAATGTGATATACGTTTACTTTTTAAAAATATCAGCGACTTCATAGATCATTATTGAAAGAGAAATACAAACCTTTATGCGCTGGCCATTGCCAAGAGTAATATTATTGCTGAAGTCCCTGTCTATGGAGCCAGAAGCAACAGTGAAGATCCAAGGCGCCACGTTAGACACAGTCTGAAGTTCTGGTCCCGAGTTACCAGCGGCGGCAACGACTATTATTCCCCTGGAAATCGCATGGAAGGATCCTATAGCGATCCCATTGGTCAACATGCCATTAATATCTGGGACAGCATTCCTACCGATTGAAACAGAGAGCACATCAACGCGATCGTTGATAGCTTGGTCAAAAGCAGCGAGCAAATCTTCATCAGTGCAGTCTTCAGAACTATGAGGACCCCAGCAGACTTTGTACACTGCAAGACGAGCTCTCGGAGATCCTCCCTTGGCAGTGCCATTCCCATTATTGAGAACACTCACGTTTCGAACGAAGTTGCCGCCGGCGGTTGACAGCGTATGTGTGCCGTGTCCCACCATGTCACGAGCACTAATACCACTTGTGGGGCCCAGGCTTCCGTGTTTTATCTCGAAGCCCTGATAGAAGGTTTTTGCTGCAATGAGCTTCCTGTTTCATGGATATGTTATTGTTACATACTTGATCTCAAATTTTAATTATAAACTACTTCGCATAGCATACTTTTTATTTTTAAGAAATAAAATGATGAATAATAATAGGGTATAAAAGCAAATTAACTCTTAAACTATACATATATCTAAGAGCATCTAAGACCCCAAACTCATTTTTTATGTAATGTTTTTTCTTCAATTTTTTGAAAATAATGCAATTCAGTCCCTGCCATTATATAATTTCAAAAATTATAGAAAATAATTAATAAAAATTTTTTGGTCATTTTTAATAATTTCTTGGGTCATTATCTATATATTTTGGTCATTTACTGCAATTTTTGATCCTCTTATATTTTTTTTAATATCATTTTCTGTTATTTTTCTTGTCAACAAACAAATAAGGTTAACTTTGGTTAACGGCTGGAGCCGGATTGCGTTGTTTTAAAAAATTTAAAAAGAGCATTATTAAAAAAAGTTTATGATTTCAAACGTTCATACATCAATAATTTAGGAGCTAATTGGATATTTTACTTATAATGGTGGTGGTGGTGGTGGTTGTTTAAAAACATGCATTCAAATTTGGATCGAACCTGTTGCAAAGAGTTGTGGTAGATCGGCCTGACAAACTGTACAGCTCGCATTTTGACCCTCCTCTCCACTTATTTGGAATGGGGCCGTACCCATCATCTCGGAAGCTTTTGGATTCCGGCCAAACACCTACCTCATAAAACGACTCAATATATATACACATAAAACTCACGCAACACAACTGATCAATATATGATCGTTCTTATCTCACTCTATTTCAAACCAAATTGTGAGGCACGGTGCATTACATGCAGTGTTATGTACGTAGATTAAATTACAGATACACATACACAGATAGACATATATATAGATTTCATTTGCAACTAGTTATATTACCGGTATCAATGCTGCCGATAATCACATTTTGACCAAATCTTCCTTTGACCCAAGCAGAGTCTGGTCTCACTCTTCCATTTCTTTCTTGTCCCAGGAAGCCCCATGACCTTGTTGTGTACAGCTTATGTGATTGGCTCAAGAACACTGACACCACTTTTGGATTTTCTGCGTCAATTTCCCAATCATTTTATGTCAATCAATATATCAATGCTACCATCATATTTTTTTAAAAATTTTTTTACCTCCAACCTAACCCTTCTTCATAGGAATAGAAAACACAGCAGCCACACACACATAAAATTTTTTATGTTAGATGTTGAAAAATCTAAAATATTTTTTTATTTTTTAACATGTAATTAATGATTTTGCCCCCTAAAAGTACTCTTAATAAATAAATCATTCATCTATTCATATTTAAATGAGACACCCTATTAATTAAGAGTAAATATTAAAATATAGTATATTAATTTAAAGACAATTAACTAACATAGTGGAAGTATAATTCAATTAAAAATGCTTTGTACTTTAAAAAATAGAGGAAGTATATCTTCTCTAAAGAAAGAGTGAGTGGGACATATAAGAGTAGTTGATAAAAGGTATTTGTGAAAAGATGTGACAATTATTAATTTGTCTTGTAAAGAAGAAGAGATGTAGGACATATGAGACTCTCACTTTTGAGCTCTTGGGCTTCTTGATCTTCGAGTAATGCAGCGAAGCCATTGATGTGTTTGTTGTAAGAGTAAAACATGGCTTCTTTGGCCCTCTCATGACTGTCAATGTGCAAAAATCAATTTAGAGAATTCAAATTCTTGTCATCATATGCAGCTCTTGTTGCACAATTGATTCCCAAGAAATTAATGGGACGTTTAATTACCTTCCTAAGACAGAGGCAAGAAAATCATAATGGGAACTTGTGGCAAAGTCCATGTCAGCAGAGGATGGTTTTGGACCATGGGAATGTGATCCCAAGTATACAACGTACGACTGCAAAAGACAAAGGAAATCGAAAACGTTGGATGAAGATCAAGTGGTTGATGATCGACGATTATCAGAATATTAACCAGATAGAACAAATGCTGGCTTGCCTTTTTAATGGCATATGCAGGTTGCTGCAACTGTAAGAAGCTGCATAGCAGCAATGACGAAAGAAGAAAGTGAAACATAGTTAAGCCAAACATTTTCTTCGCGTGAATTCTCGTAAGTACAATGATGAGCGCGAATGGCGAGTGGCGACTCTAGTTCGTCTCTCTTTTTATATCCATCCTCAGGCGTTTGTGGATGGCGAAACTTTTCTTTTTTGTTTCTTTTTCGGAATAATTTTTTGACCAACTTTTTCCCCCTTTTACTGGAAGACGAATAACCTGTTTCAACATTTATCATCCCAAAACCATGGAATTAAGTTTTTCTAGATACATCAACCCCATCAAATAATTTTATCAAATTCTCAATTTATATGGATACTTGTTTCTATTTTATCAAATTTTCAATTTATTAAAAAAAACGGAGTAAAGTAATGTAATTTTCCTTCTATTTTACTAACATTACAGTAACTTCCCTTTTATTTTTTAAAGAGTTAAATGGCAAATTCTCCGCTAAATTATAAGAAAGAATTTGTGAACCGGTCGGTTCATTGTTACTTTGTTAGGTCGATTCATTTATTGGTTGTTACGTTGGATCAAGCCGATGAACCAAAAGATAGGGCGATAATTCATAATTTTTAAAATCTAAATTCTATTCTTTGCATTGTCATCATCAAGTTAAAGTGTGTGTCGGTGGTGCAATGCAATATATCATGGAAAAATATAATAGCAATAATTGATAAAGGACCAGGGAACAAAATGACTATTTGGATATTAAACTTTTAGCTAGAATATACTTTTAATTTCCTAATTTGATATAAGATTTTAATTTGGTTCTTTAATTTTATAAAATATATTTTTAATCTTTTTATCCTAACAGTTAATTTTTTTTATATATCTAACATTGTTAATTTTAAATGATTATTTTTTATGATAATCATTGTTATTTTTTAAAAAATAAACTTAATAAATCAACATTTAAAAGTATTTTATCAATATTTAAAAATTTATAAAAAAATTTTGTAATAAAATTAATATTGTTAGGGTTGAAGGATTAAAAATACATTTATAAAATGAAAAGATCAAAATAAAACTTTAATTTATATAAAATTAAAGGATTAAAGGTTTATTCCAACCTAAACTTTTTATCAAAATGTGACCGTCTATTTGTTGAGGAGGTGTGAGGATAAAGAGTCAAGCTTTCCTAATTATGTTACAAACAAAAAAATTGGGATTCAAACCCCAACGGCTTGCGTAAGTAAAGGAAGTTCCTATCACTCACATTAATTTAGGTTTTTTTTTATGAGAGACATCAATTTAATTAGTTATTACAATTATTTTTTAAAAAAAAAATAGATGAGTTGAGTTACAAAAGCTTACTAAGACTAGACATGCCTTTTTAATTTCTTTATTCTTCTTCTCTTTTTGGAAAAGTTTCCAACCCTTAGATCCTACACAAGAAATATAAATGTATAAAAAAGTCTCATAAAATTATAAAATTATTTTAAAGTCTCATGTTCTTTACTTAAATTGTTTAATTATTGCTGAATAATTGTTAGTCATTGTTGCTTAGTTGTCAACTGAACAACTTAACTAACAACTATCTATTAGTATATATTGACAACTTCAATACAGCATATTGATAACTTGAATAAATAACATGAGATGTCAGAATAATTTTGTAATTTAATGAATTTTTTTATATATAGATTTATCGTGTAGGAACTAAGAGGGATTTTCCCTTACTTTTTTTTTTGGGTTTTATTCACTGTGGTTCACTATCTTTATGAATTATCAAAGCACTTGCTCCTGTGTTCATTGGATGTTCACGCATTTGATGGTATTTTCACGACCCAGAGGGTATCTGATTATTCTAAAATACAAAATGAAAGACGAACATAAGCCAAGGTTAAGAAAATCTTTGTTTTATATTCTATGTCTTTTAAAATAAAATTTTTGATATAATTTAAGTAAAATACCCTCAATTAATGGAGAGATCAGTGCTTGAGATTCTTTACAAATTATTATTGTTGTTGTTGATTATTGAAAAAAAGGCAAAATTATACAAAAAAATAATATTCATTAAAATTAGAGTGAATGAGACTTAAGTTCCAAAGAGACAATTTTATCTCATTAAAATCTCAAAAAATTTCAAAATACAAATTTAAAAAAAGTCTCTCAAGTCATTAATTAATAATTTGACAAAATCTTAAACTTACAAATTTTTAGCCTACTTCATGAAATTTGCAACTCCTACTTTGATTTGCACAACTTAGTTTCCTAATTTAATTTAAGGACAATTTATTTTCACAAAAACACAAAATTTTAAACACTGAATTCTATAAGAACATTTATTCATCTCCAAAAATTTGCAACTTACTCTCTCAGATTTAAAACTTTATCTATTATCATTTTAACTCCATATCCCAATTTTATATATGAAACCAATTTCAATATTTATTTTTCTAATAAGAAATTACTTGTTCAATTTCAAGAATTTTCAATTTATTCTCTCTAATTTATAATTCCGTTTACCTTAGTTTCCAGCTCAAGTTCCAAATTCTATTTAGAAATACAAGATTTTAACATTGAATTTTATAATGTTATTTTGTCAGTTATGATTTTTGCAACTTACTCTCTTATATTTGCAGCTTCATTTACCTTGATGTGCAATTCTATATCCCAACTTTATTTTTGAACACTAAATCTCAATATTGATTTCATTTATGAATTTCTAAATAAAATTTGGAACTCAGGTTACAAACTAACGTAAATGAAATTACAAATTAGAGAGAGTAAATTGCAAATTCCTTGAATTGAACAAGTAATTTCTCATGAGAAAAATAAATATTGAGATTATGTTTATAAATAAAATTGAGATATAGAGTTGTAAATCATAGTAGATAAGTTGTAAATTTGAGAGAGTAAGTTACAAATTCATGGAGTTGAATACATAATCTTATAAAATTCAATGTTTAAAATTTTGTGTTTTTATTAAAAAAATTTGTGTTCTTAAATTAAATTGGGAACAAGTTACAAATCTTTTAATCTCTAAAATTTCATATCATTTCAGCACATTTTCCTTGTTTTCTAATATATTTAGGCACAACTGAACATATTTTGATTACCCAAATTATGAAAATATGCCCATTGCTTTGGGTTTGCACACTTGACTTTAATTTGATACTTTTGGGCTAAATTTGTGTTATTTTGGCTTAAGGTTTGGTTGGATGTGTATCTTGACCTTTGATGATGCTTTTGGAAGGTCTTTAGATGAAGAAATCAAGTGCAAAGATCATTAAATCATGTTAATTGGGAGAAGAGTGCAAAACTAGCCAAATTTGTCACCAAATTCACTTCTTTATTCACAACTTTTGTCACTGACAACAAAATATTGTAGTTTCTTTAGTTGGAAATGCTTGGGTTGGATGTGTTTATGTGGCTTGCTCAACTCAGAACACATTCTATAGACTTAAAGACCCTTTAGGAGCTTAATTGTGTTAAGGTTTTAGCTTTAGGTGAGTTGGGATTAAGTGTTGAAGCTTTAGAGACATTTGAAGCTCTATTTATTCAGTTCTTTTATTTCTTCTCCATTTTTTCTTATAATTTGATATGGGTATAAATATTTTGTGTATTTGTCAAGGTTTTTAAAAATCTGATTGGTCATCAAATTGGTCAAGATAATGATTTACGATTCAATGGTCTCCTGTATAAGACTTGTAGATTTCTTAGTTTTACTTGTTATCAAGCAAGGGTATTTTTGTCTTTCAATGTCTAAATTATTTTCATTTCAATCCTAAAGGATTGAACTAAGGTTTTAAATTGCTTTGGGACCCGCCAATAATTAAGTCTCTTCCTTAATCCTTAACTGAAATTCTCCCAAGAAAGAAATATAGAGGGAGAGAATAAAATAATAAGAGACTTAAAAGCTTTCTTATTTCAATGTATAAAATACAACTGAAACGTCTTCTATTTATAGGCACAAATATTAAAAATATAAAATATAATAAGAATCAAAAGATATTGAAGAATCTAAAAGATATGGATATCCACAAAATTTTCTTAATATTCACAACACTTCCTCTTGGATGTCCAAATATTATGCCTCGTTCAAGCCTCATTAGGAAAATCCTAATGGGACAAAAACTTGATAAAAGAAAAAAAAAAGTACACAATATCTTCATATTTAGTAGAGTTGTCTCATTAAAAACTTTACCAGGAAAAACCAGTGAGACAACCCTTAGTTAAGGAAAAAAAAGAATAACTTCTACACCTTTGATGACAATATCACTTCTTGTTCTTGAGTCTTCTTGAGTCATCATATCCTAAACTTGTGTATTAATTTTTTGAATATTGTTGCCACCGATGCCTTTGCATGTTGATTTTCTTTAACCACTAGACTATATAGGTCATTGCCTTCATATAATATTTTGAAACATTTTTCTATACATATCTTTTAGATATGAAAACATTTTCCACTTATTAATTGTATATTTTGTGGGACTAACAAGTGAAAATTACTGATAAACAATCATGACATACATATATTTTCACACACAAATAATCTCTTGGAGGTCAACTCATCACTACTAGAAAAATTAAAATTAGTGAGGAATCTCTAATCTATCACTAATTATAGTTATTAGTGACTGAAATTTTATGATAGCTTGAAATATGTCACTAATTATATAAATTAGTGATGACTTAATGATAGATATAGGATGTCGTCACATTTTGGTTGAATTTTAATTTGGTAATGAATTTAAATCCATCACTATTTCATCACTAAATCTTTATTAGTGGCAAATTAATGATAGATATTTTTAATTAAAAAAAAAACAAAATATGTTTCAATATTTTATACAAATAAAAAATTAAAATATATACATAGAGAGATTCATATGAAGAAAATCTTGAAAATTACCAAATTAAATAATTATACAAATAAAGTTTTTCTCTTATTATAAGTAAAATATATAATATAAAATGATATAGAAAAATAAAAAATATTTTTTTAATTATGTAAACTTGAATATAAAAATAATTTTTTTTTATGATATGGAAATACTTTAATTATAATGTAGATAATCTAAGAATGATACAGAAATCTTTATTTTCATAAACTATTGACATTAAATATTATATTTCT